AGCCGGTGCTGGGTGAGGGGGGGTCGCGCGCCACGGCGGCTCTAATGGGGCGAGCGGGTTGGGGGAGGGGCAGCGTGGAGCTTGGGGTTCAGAGGCCCAGAAGACCGGGAGCAGTGGACCAAAACGAGTGGAGGGGGGAACCCTGCAGGGCCTTCTCGATGGGTGAAATGGAGCTGGCAGCACATGCTAGGGCCTTGAAGCCCAGGGAAAGCCTTGGGCACTGACCACGCCCCCAGACGGGCAGCTTGGGCCAGTTGACTTCGCTTAGTACTAAGTAAATCGGTGAGCCCGGGCAGCAGATGAACTGGGCCCCTCTAACATGGGGCGGGGGAGAAAAGCCCTGGTCCTCCCCTAGTGGACCAGGTGAGTCTGTAGTTGGAAGTGAAGTGCCTGGATTTGTAAGCATGTGGGAGAACGTGCCTGGAGAGTTGGAAGGGTTTGAAAGTAGGAGCCTCGCTGTGGTCCAGTTGGAAGACCCTGGGGGACACCTGGTTGGCTTGCAGTTGAGTAGCAGTGAGGTAGGTTAGAGGTTGGAGTGTCTGAAACTGAGCCCCACCCCGTCTTCTCCCCCTCGTCTTACTGCCCCCACTGCATCTCTGCCTGGCAGCAATCCAAGTCCTGGGCACAGTCAAATGGTTCAACGTCCGGAATGGTTACGGATTCATCAACAGGTATCCGAGGAACCCCACGAGGGGGTGGGATGGGTGCCTTCCTTCCAAACTGGCCTGTGGGATTGGCCACCATCCCACCCATCTCTCTCTCTCCTCGCTGAGGCACATGGTTGCCCTCTGCACTGTGCAGCTGGTACTGATTGAAAGTCTTTCACCCCAGCACCGACGTGTGCTTACCGGCAAGATGAAGCCGCCTTCACATCTCCAAGGGCAGCAGAGAGTTAATGAACTAGGATCTTGGCAAACCAGCTTCCAACCTGGACCCTCTGAGGGGTGGCTTTGCGCTCACCTTCACCTTCTGGAATCACCTCCTCCTTTGTCGTTTGTTGTGCCTCTGAGGCAGAAAGTACAGAGAAGCCCTGCGCCTCAGGGCTCAGGCCTGGAATCCTCACCCATTTCCTGTTCTGAGTGGTACACACAAACTCACACTGCTCTTAAAGAGCTGCAGGCTCATTGAGATCCCCCAGCTGATTGAGGCTGGGTGGGGGAAAACAGCTGAAGCTGGCTGCTTGTCTTCAGTGTGGCAGCCCCTTGCTCTCCTAGCACCCAAAAGACTGATGGTGGTGGATTGATTCGAGCCAGGGCTCCCACTGTGGGCTCCTCCCCAGGCCGGGCTGGGTGCCCGGCCTGGCCCCCTGGGAGGCTCTGGTTCCCTCTTAGCCAACTGACCTCTGTACAAGCTGAAGTGCTTTAAAGTTAGAGCATGTGTTCTCGGGAAGGGTCCCACCCTCACCCTGGAAGCTGAGGACCCCTGGCCCTGGGTCGTTGAACAGACAAGCTATTCCACAGCCCTTTCCCTTTAGGGGCTGTTAGAAACCAGGTAGAAACCTGGCTGTTAGAAATCAGGGGCTGTTAGAAACCAGGGTAACAGTGTGATCAAGAGTGGGCAGAACCTTTTCTCTTGCACCTTTGGCCTTCTGTGTGTTGAAAGGGGGTTGACCGTAGGCTTCACTGCCAGGCTGAGGGTGAGAGATCCGGGTTTGGGGGCTGTTTGGAACGAGCCTCCTCCTCCACCTCCACACCTTGTCTCCTGCAACCGTTCACTCTCTCCCTCCTTGAGTGTAGAAGGAAGACCTCTGGAGTCTCCGAACCACGATGAGCCGGAGGGGTGTATGGGACAGTTACACCTAGCACTACCTGGTTCCAAGGTGCCCCTGAGGTGGAGGGTGGAGCATTTAGCAGGTGTCTAGCTGTCCCCAGCTCCTCCTAGGTGACCTTGCCTCCCCCCTCGCCCTATTCTTCAGGAAGGCCAGGTTCCCTGTGGCTTCAGGTATACTGGCTCATGGAGGCCTTGCTCGTCTGGCCTCTCACTCCCTGGGCCCTACCTTCTCGCAGCCAGTGGTGGGACGCAGGGGAGGAGGGCCCCTGGTGAGGAATGGGCAGTAAGGTAGCCAGGCTTCAGTGGAGGCAAGCACATCTTGGCAGTCACGCCCCTAATGACCCCTCCTGTTCCGCAGGAACGATACCAAGGAGGATGTCTTTGTTCACCAGGTAAGAGCTAGGCTGGCGTTCTCAGAGAGGGACTGGCCCCCTCGTGGAAGCCCTGTGCAGTGCCATCTGTCTGCCCAGCTCTCATGTCACAGTGGCATGTCCACCAAGAAATAGCTGCTTCTCCCGTCTGCCTCGGGGCACCTGTGTTGAACCTCCAGTAGCCTCACCTGGGTTACTGAAAGTGCACCAAATGCCTGGCGTCCAGGCCTGGCATGCTTACCGGGCTGCAGCCTCAGGCTAGCGGTCTGTGGGTACAGTGGTTCTCAAAGTGTGGTCCCTGCACCTGCAGCTTCACCCGACCCCCAGGCCCTCAGGCTCCACCCCAGACCCACCGCTTCATACTCGGGGGTGGGGCCCAGCCATGGGTTTTAACAAGCTCCCAGGTGCTCTCATGGCAGCCAGTGTGAGAACCACTGCTTTGGTGGTGCGCTTTCAGGAGGGGTGAGGTAAGAGGGCCTGGTACACTTTACCCACTTTGCCACTTAGGGCTGGTTTGCTTTTTGCCTGACTTTTGAGCTCCTCTCTCTTGCCTCCCCAAGGGAGAAGAAGGGGCGGAGCGGGGGTAGGGAGTCCGCCGAGGCCTGTGGTAACGGCACGGTCAGTCCAGAGGCCCCTAGTTCATTGCTTTTCCTCTACTGAACTCTTGGCCACCTCCTCCATGTTCTTCCCGTGCCAGCCCTGCCCCCAAGTAACAACTTTGAGCCAAATTGGGTGGTGGGCCCAGAGGGGCCTCCTGTCTTGCTGCCCTCACCTTTAGTGACCTTTCCCCCAACCAGACAGCTATTAAAAGAAACAACCCCAGGAAGTTTCTGCGCAGCGTGGGAGATGGAGAGACTGTGGAGTTTGATGTCGTGGAAGGAGAGAAGGTTTGAGGGCTCCTGGGGATCCTGGCAGCGGCTGGCATGTGGGAGGAGGGCCTGGAGTGTCGACAGGCAGGCTGCGATGGGCTCTTCCTCGGGGCCTGGAGCCCAGGCTGTAGGAAGGGAAGGGGTCCCTGCATGGGCTTAAGCACTCAGCTGCTAAGCAAAGGCTTGGTGGTTAGACATCCATCCTGCCCGAAGCACCTTGGAAGAAAGGTCTCCATCTACTTCCAAAGACCCCTGCCACCGAAGCCTGCAGGGCAGCTGGACTCTGCCCACGGGCAGGCTCCCTGAGGAGGAAGCAGCCCTGTGACAGCTTGTTTCTTTCTGTGGTTTGGGGGAATGAGGTGGTGTCCGAACCCAGTCTTTCTGAGCTAGAGCTGCTCGAAATCTCATACCGGCATCCCCCGCCCCCCTCGCCATCTCGCCCATGCCAACGCACAGCACCCCCAGACGGGGTCTCTGCGGCTGTGGGTTCTCGATGGGAGCCAAGTCTGTGTTCTCTCCTGCGGTGGATGGTGGGCGGGTTGGAAGCACCAGGCTGGCTATTGATTGGCAGCCGCCCCACACTGGCTCAGCAGCACCGGCAGGGTCTCTGGGGGTGGGTCTAAAGGGGTGTCTTAAGGAATGTTTCCCTTTCATGAGACCCTTCCTGAGCACCTCCACATCTATGCCCCACACGCCGCAGAGGCAGCCTTGTGCAGAAGCTGGATGGTGACTCCCCATCGCACCCCCACCCCTGTCTTGAGGGCTGAATAGCAGCTGTCGTAAAGGGACAGGTGACAAAGGTGGTCCATTGTCTGCCCCCCCACCTTACCCCTCAATAGTGGAAAGACGTTGGGAGAGTGGCGATAACGGGAGGGTGGAGGGAAGGTGAGGTAGAAAGGGGGAACCGATTAAAAGGATCTACATATAACCCCCTCCCTGGGGAATAGTCAACAGAAAAGTGGGTGAGGGGAGACATCAGTCAACGTAAGACATGGAAAAATAGTGATTTATAAATTATCGGGGGAGGGAGGGAAAAAATGAGCTGATACCAGGGGCTCAAGTGGAAGGCAAATGTTCTGAGAATGATGAGGGCAACAAATGTACTCGACACGATGCATGTATGGATTGTGATGAGTTGTATGAGCCCCTAATAAAATGATTTTTTTTTAAAGTTGGGAGGTAGAGGCGAGAAAGAAAAGCTAGAGAGGAGTTTGGGACTTGTGCATTTGAAGTCAGAACTTAAGTTCCGACCAGTCCTCCCTGCCTCCTTCCCAGGGTGCAGAAGCTGCTAATGTCACTGGGCCCGGGGGGGTGCCAGTGAAGGGCAGCCGCTATGCCCCAAATCGACGTCGGTTCCGCCGCTTCATTCCCCGGCCTCGCCCAGCTGCCCCACCTCCCATGGTGGCAGAGGCCCCCACAGGTGGGGCAGAGCCAGGCAGCGAAGGAGAGCGGGCTGAGGACGCTGGGCAGCGGCCCCGACGTCGCCGCCCACCACCCTTCTTCTACCGACGGCGATTTGTACGAGGCCCCCGGCCCCCCACCCAGCAGCAGCCTATAGAGGTGAGAGGAGATGGGGTGGGGGTGGGGGTGGGAGCCAAGGTAGCATGTTCTGGAAAAGGAGTTGGTGAGGACAGAGACCACAGGGTTCCCAAAGGAGGGAAGTTGAGAAGAGTTGTGGTACCCAGACTGCGTCCCTCTAGGACACTGATAGGAACCTTGGTGACGCCGTGGTTGACTGCTAACTGAAAGGGCAGCGGTTTGAACCCACCAGAGACATGGTCTTCTGCTTCTGTAAACATTTATGGCCTCTGAGACCCCGTGGGAGTTTGACTCTGCTATTAGGCTGCTGGGGGTGGAATTGAATTGATGGCGATGGGTTTGGTGTGTTTGGGTAGGGCACTGACGGCGTAGAACCTAAAGAGACAGCCCCACTGGAGGGGGACCAACCGCAGGGAGATGAGCGGGTCCCCCCACCCAGATTCCGGCCCAGGTACCGAAGGTAAGGACCCCTCACACACGCTTCTCCCCTCCCCTTCCTGGGACTCTCTCCCCTCTTTGACCATCCTAAATTACTGCCAGTGGCCAGGGAACAGGAGGATGGGAAGGGGAAGAGTTCAATTCTAGGAAAAGCCTGCAGCCAACCGTGGTGAGAAGGGCTGGCTGGCCAAGAGACAGGAGTGCCCAGGGGGAAGGAGGAGGTATCCCTGGGGCTGGAGGCTGGTTCTGGGAAGGCTTGCCCAGTGCTGAAGCGGAGTCCTAGGGAACAGGGAGACATCTGGACTGGGCCCCTTGTTCCCTTCATGGCCTCTGCTTCCTTCCCTAGGCCTTTCCGCCCCAGGCCACCCCAGCAGCCGACCACAGAAGGTGGGGATGGTGAGACCAAGCCCAGCCAAGGCCCCACTGATGGTTCCCGGCCTGAGCCCCAGCGCCCACGAAACCGCCCCTACTTCCAGCGGCGGCGGCAGCAGCCCCCTGGCCGGCAGCCTACAGTCTCAGAGGTGAGGCCCACAGGACAGCAACTAGGGAGGTGGGGTGACAGGATTGGCTCACCACCTTGGCCATGGCCCTGCCCTCCCCCAACCCCCCACTTCAGTCCAGGCTAATGGCAAAGAGCTAACATTATTGGGTCCACTGCTGGCAGGCGCCCCCATCCTGTTGACCCCCGCCCCCAGCTTTGCTTAGAGCAGCAGCGTCAGTCTGTGGCTGGGACGTGAGGGGGGTGGGAGGTTGGCTGTGGAGGGTTGGGAAGAGCTGCTGGGTCGGCGGGCGAAGGCTAGGGTTGGGGTTCTAATGAGCAAGCCCTCCTTGTTCTCTCTAGACCTCAGCCCCCATCAGCAGTGGGGATCCCCCCCCTACCATACTGGAGTGACTCCAACTGTAAGGACACCCAGAGCTACCACCTGGTGAGGGCAGCTCTAGGGATGCCCCTTCCCCCCCTTCTCCCGCGGGTGGCTAAGAACTCGGACTCATTCATGACTCATCTGTTTCTCCCCTCTCTCAGGTTTCTACCAGTTTTTCCAACTGACCTGTACCCCCTTCTCCTTTCCCATAAACTCATGCCATCAAGACACCAGCTCTTCCCGCTTTCCTTGAGACGCAGGAGGGTCAAAGCCACAGCCTTGTGCTTGTTTTTGGTTTGTTTTCCTCTCCCCCCAGTACCAAGGTTGAAGGAAAGGATCCACCCTATCATTCCCAGGCACCCATCACGCCCTCCCCTAAATCAGGCTGAGAAGGAACCAGCCAGCTCTTCCCTCCTCCCGGTGTTTCTTTCCCACCCCAGTTTATTTTTGCTCCCCCCCTCCCCCCAGCCCCCACCTCTGAAGCCATTTTATGAACTGCCTCGTGCCACCAGAGCCCTCCAGTAAAAACAGAAACAGGCTTTCCTGTCTGGTCTCCGCCTCTTTTCTGTTTGGACAATGGCTGGTAGTTTGTTGCAGGCGGGGTGGGGCAGTGGGCAGAGCCAGCTCTGGGCTCTAGCGGGGCAGGTGCGGGCAGGTGCCTTCCATCTCAATCCCAGGAAGGTACGGACGAGAGTGACCCCCTTAACCACGTAGGCAAGTGTTTGACAGCGCCATGACAGGCCTGGCATCTGCGGCTATCCTTTATTCCGCTTCATCCGCAATGGGAATAAAAACAATGAGTAGCAACCTAACGGGGCCAGGAGGGCCAGCATCCAGAACCTTCTTGGGCCTTGAAATAAGGCAGCAGGACCAAGAGAGAGGAAGGAGGTTGGGGGCGGCAGTAATGGTCCTTGTGTCAGCCCACCCTCCTCAACTATCTGCATAGCAGGAAGCTCGTCTGCAGAGGGTGACACTAGATATAGCTATATACATATTCAGTACAACAGATCTTTGGTTTCTTCTCCCTGCCACCTCTTGTTCAAGGACATACAAAAGTGTCCTAAGGTTCCCCCAGCCCAGGGTCTCCAGGCCGCTGGCCCGACCTCTTCTTCCTAGTTGGTCAAAAGCCTGTGGGCACAAGACCCTTGCAGGCTGGAGAAGAGGAACAAGCCGGGCTCTCGCTGGGTCGCCGTGGGGAGCAATCCAATCGAGTAGTAGGCCCAGAGCGCTAAGGCTAGAGGCTGGAGCCTGCTGTCCCATCCTCTTGTCAAACACTGGCATGTGTGCCCTCTCTGGAGGGCCGGCGTAGAGGTCCGAGCCTCTAGTGAGAGCTGGAGGCAAGACCGAGCGAGCAGAGGGTAGAGGACATGCCCTCTGCCCTGGAGGGGTGGGGCACACAACCCCCTGCCCTCAGAGTCCTGGTGGCCAGAATCCAGAGAGCGTGCCACATCACGGGAGGAGTCCAAAAGCAGGCGGAAACTGGAAACTTCTCCCATCCTGCCCTCTGCTTCAGCCCCCCCACTGAGAAACAGTCCTAGAGCCTACCCTCCTTACCACACCCCCACACCCCCTTCTCTAGCCAGGAGAAAGGTATTCTGGAGCTGAGGCTGGGGCGGGTGGGGAAAAAGGGCTTAGGCTATGGGGGGTGGGGGGGATGGGAGGGGGGCGGGAATGGCCCACTCCGGTGGCCACAGCCTAACCACCACACATAATTCATCCAGGAGTCACACGAATAAGAGGGTGCCTTAGACCACCCTCCCCTCCAGCTTCCCAGTCCCACCAGGCTGCAGGGGTTTTCTCCATCCTGGAAGTACCAGGGAAGAGGGTTAAAGTGCTGCAGAGAAAAGGCGGGGCTGTGGGGGTGGGCGGGGAGAAGGTTCTGGCTCTCCCTTCAGGCTAACCCCTCAGTCATTCTCATCGGGCCCCAAGTACTCCAATTCCGTGCTGGGTTTCACCTCCTGCTCTAAAAGAGAGGGTGTCCGGTGGAAGGCAGCAGAAATCTGGTCGAACGTCCGGCCTCTGGTCTCGGGCACTTTTAAGAAGGTGAAGATGAAGAAGCCAAGCAGAAGGGCCGCGAACAGAAGGAAGACGTAGGGACCCAGAGCCTCCTGAGACAGGTGGAGAAAAGTGTGGCCAGAGGGGGAAAGGGAGGGCAGGGGTGGTTCATGCAAGCCAGGAGTTCACTTAAAGCCCCTCTTAGGGACCTGGGGGTGCTGCTGGGGGTGGGGGGAAATTGAAATAAGGGATCAGATCCGGTCCAACATTCTCTGAATCGCAGCCTCTTCACCACCCTGCATCCCTTGGCTCCTAGCCACGGGTCCTCCTGTTTGTCATTTCTGCTTAGCCTGAATGGGTTGGGCTTAGGACCCTCTTGTTGGTTTGGAAGGCACCCCTGTTACTATCTGATCTAGGACAGCTCCCTTCATTCCGATGATAATGGTGGAGCAGGGGTCTTCAGTGAGGCACAGTCCATGGATATGTAACTGGGGTGGGGTGGTGCACCTGGAGCCAAGGAGGGGCTATTGGGGGGGGGGTGACCTACCGCAACATACTGGAAGCCCATGCCGATGATGAAATTGCAGGTCCAGTTGGAGAAGCCAGCCACAGCCATGGCTGCCGGCCGGGGGCCCTGGCTGAAGAGCTCGGCCACGATGAACCAGGGGATGGGGCCAGGGCCAATCTCAAAGAAGGCCACAAAGCCAAAGATGGCAACGATGGAGACGTAGCTCATGGTGGGAGCCCGCTCCTGGGGGTCAGGCAGAGAAGGAGGAATACAGGTCAGGCTTTCCTGAGTCTCCCTCAACCCGCAGGAGGACCTGTGGCATTCGCCCCTCCGGGCAGCTCCCTGAGAGGCTTGCGGTCCCTGGTTAGAACAGGCCCCTTGGCTGTGTCTGGGCAGTGGTCTTCTCCTGCTTACCCCAAGCAGACTCAGGGAACAGGAAATAACGCGGCTTCTTAGCTCTCAGGGTGTCCTTGTAGGCTCTCAAGCCAGGTGACAACCTCAAATGACTGTTTTTCAGGTTCCAAGGTTCTGCCAACTCCTGCGCCAGGTCCCCATGGTCCTAACACGCTGGTTGGCCCCAGAGCCTCTTGGGATCGTTTCTCTGGGTTGGGCTGCTGTCCCTGCCCAGTTCCCCAGCCCAAGCCTTACCAACAGAAGCAGGGCCACTGTCATCATGATGGCACAGCCACACATGCCCGCCAGGCCCAGGAGGTGGAGTGTCCGGCGGCCAGCCCGCTCCACCAAGAATACCTGCAGGGAGAGTCAGGGCTAAACAGGGCGGCCCTGCCTGGATCAAGCAAGGGGGCAGGGGGGTGGGTGGCAAACTGGGAATGGGGAGCAACTAGGAATAGGATTGCTAGGAGACCCCGGGGATGTGAAGGTACAATGGGGGCCCCTTCCAGAGGGGCGCATTACCGAAACCAGGGTGAAGATGGTGTTGACCACACCAGCTCCTATGGTGGCATATGCTGGCTGCCCTACTCCTGCCGTCTCAAAGATGCTGGTTGAGTAATAGAAGACCTAGAGGTGGGGGTGGGGGGTGGAGAGAGGATGTCAGGGATGCCCCCCCCTCCTACCACACCAAGCCTGCCAGGGCCTGAATGTCAATCGCAGCAACCTGCTCCCTTCTCCCTGCTTCTCCAGCTGTTGCCTGACCCTTGCCCTTTCCTGGGGGCTACACCCACGTACAGCATTGATGCCTGAGAGCTGCTGGCTGAGCTGCAGCACAACTGCAATGATGAGCGGCTGCCGGTGGGTCCGGCTACCCAGGAGCTGGAGCAGGGACAGCGGCCGCTCGCGCTCCAGCTTCCGCTTCTCCTCCTTCAGCTCTGCCAATACCCCAGACACGTCGGCCCAGCCAGTCAGGCGCTTCAGACCTGGGGGTGGGGGTGGGGTGGGGGGGGTCAGCCGGAGAGGAGGGCAGGACTGGGAGGCTGGGAAGAGGGGGGGTGGAGCCCTGGGCCAGACTTCAGGGTTGAGTGCTCACTCTTGCGGGCAGGACCCTCCAGGTTCCTGATGATGTAGAGGTAGCGTGGGCTCTCTGGGCAGAAGGGCAGCAGGACCAGCTGCAGGACGGTGGGGAGCACCGTGAGGCCCAGAAGCAGAGGCCACAGGGTGGCAGTGCCCAGCATGGACTCCAAGCCCAGCACCTTCAGGGAGAAGAGGGTGGAAGAGGGCAGGTCACTCACTCAGCTCTCCTGTTTGCTCCTCAAGTCCCCTCGTTCTCCAGGCCTCCCCCCAGCTCAGTCACCTGGGCGATCAGAATGCCAATGACAATGGCCAGTTGGTTGAGTGTTCCCAAAGCACCCCGCAAGTGAGTGGGGGCGATCTCCCCTACATACATAGGCACCAGGCCTGACGTCAACCCTGGGCAGAGGGAAGAAGAAAGAGCTGAAGGCAGCCGCTCCCTCCCACCACAGAGTCCAAGAGGGGGGCAGTGCGGTGGGGTGCTTGGTACCTGAGTAGGCCCCGATGAGGAAGCGTCCAAGAATGAGCATCTCATAAGAGGCGGCGGCGTTGGCCAACCCCATAAGGGCGCCCCCCAGCAGTGCCAGGATGTTGTTGGCCACCATGGCCCGCTTCCTGGCAAGAGACAGGTGGGGGTGCCCATCAGAGTGAGGCCCCCTGCCCTGGGGGTGCTTCCTGTCCCCCACCCCACCCTCCAGCCCCATACCTTCCCAGCCACTGGGAGATGATGCCAAGGAGGAAGGAAGAGATCATGCCGCCCACAGAAAAGATGGCCACGGAGAGAGCCCAGAGGGTGGTGAGGGTGCCCGGTGGGATGGAGCTCGGCCCTTCGGGCCCCTGCCTCCCCAGCCATGTCGCATTGTAGCTCTGTTCAATCACCTGGGCGGACAGCATAGGAATGAGCCCCTGCCAACCCTTTCCTCTCTGCTCAGCCGTGGGGTGTCCCCTGCCCTCCTGGGGTGGTCACCCGGCTCTCAGAAGTCCCTCACCTTCTGTGGGGCGTTGATGACCCCAATGTTGTAGCCAAACTGTAGAGAGCCAAGCACGGCAGAGAACACAGCGAGGACCAGCGTCCCTGTCACTCTCTGCTGCGGTGATTCCCCATCCTGAGCAGGCAGAAGCGGAGAGGGGACAGGTCACTCACTTGGAATCACAGTCTACCCTTCCCTCCAGAGGCTGAGGCTAGGTTCCACCCAGCGTACTGGGTAAGACCAGCTGGGCCATATTAGGAATCACCCGGAGATCTTGTAAACAGGAGCACACAACGGGGGCCTACCGCAACGGGGGCCCAGCAAAAAATTGCGTGTGTGAGGCTAGGATGTCAGAGGAAAGTGTTGGGGACCTATGTCTCAAGATGCCGCTGTGACCTTGAGCCAAGTTCAGCCTTAAGACACGCGAGTTAAGATTCGTGTGACCTTGGGCAAGTCACTTTCCACTCTGAAGCTAGGCTTCCTCGTTGGGGAGATGGGGGTGATGTGGCCTGTCTTAGCAGCCAGCCTGTGGGACTGTTGGGAAAATCAAAAGCAGCTGGATAATGGGACCCCTCTCTGACAGTGCTGGCTCTGGAAAGTGACAACTGCATTATCATCCTTAGCCACCGATGTCTGCCTCCCCACTGGGGGCCCTCTCAGACTGTCCCAGGAGGCCCTCACCAGGCCCAAGAAGGGCAACTCCCCAAAGGACATCTGGGTCACTGCTGCAGGCCTATAGCCCTGGGGGGTGGCATTCATTGCCTCTGCCCCAGGCTTCCCCTCCCCCTCACAACTGACAAGGGGTGGAGTGGGGGGCTGTGCCAACATTTTGC